GGGTGAATAAATACAATAGAAAATATAATAACATTCAAATATACAATTCTATAGAAACTACAAATCTTCAAAAAAAAAAAATTATTCCAATGATCAGTTATTAATGATATTAATGATGGCAATATTAAATGATCTATTAGTTATACATATATTTTTAATTTATACAGTAACTTTTTCGAAAAGTACTTAAGATTTGTTTGAATAAAAATCTATAAGTGAAGAATAATATATAGTGTATAATATTGTATTTTTTAATCTGTATACATATAATTAAAATACCATAGACTTTATGTTTTACCTACGGAAAATACTTTTTGATACATACTATATGAAATCGTAAATAAACGTCGTATAAGTGGAATGATCATGGTCATTACTACTGCAGTAGTAATGATATACCGTGTTAAGTAGTAAATAAAAACATTTTTAAAACCTACAATAAAAATGTGATCCAAAAATAATCGGAAAATAAATTTTTTTATACAAAACAGTTGAAGGTATTTTATATAAAATAATAATTAAAAATGCAGGGTACTCAACTGTGCTTATAGTTCACGTTCGATAATAATGATAAAGAGGTACTTTCGAGAATTCAAATGGTAAAAATTGAGAGAAAAAATTATAAATCCTACTCGTATACTCGTATAACTGTATTATGAATTACGCTCATGTTCAACAGTTAAATAAATAAATATTTTTGATACATTTCTGTCATCGCTACTGATAGACCAGATCGAGGAGAGTATGCAGATGCGAGTGATTATTATTGATTATGAGAAATGGATTGTTTATACCTATTTAGGTAAAATAATCTGAAATTTGCAATTTTGTAAAAAACATATTTAAATATACATATAAAATCAAAAATGTTCTTATCCAATTGTAAATTGCCTGAAATCTAAGCTCTTGGTACAATAAATTAAATATATTACTTGAAATATACAAATGCATTTAGTACATTTATGTTTTACTTAAAATATTGTACTTTTTAAACTTCACAATATTATTCTAAGTAATTATTGTATTGCTATTCTTGATGTAAATCAAATATACAGATATTAATATTGAACCTGTTATAATTTTAACCTAACTTTTAATTAATTTTTTATTTTATTATTTAACTTATGTATAACTATGATAGAAGTGTCACTTGATACTGTACATTAAATAATTTAAAAAATATATATATTAAGCCTTACGATCAAGTGATTTACAAAAATCTTATATTTATTATTATATTATTATTGTTTAAATTTTTATTTATTATATTATATATTTACCTTATAAACCAAAATTGTTGGTGTTGAAAAATTAATAAATTATTTTTTATATTAAATCAGTTTATTTTTATGTTGACTATTTTACATGATTTATATGTGTGAACACGAATTTTTAAAGAAATATGTAAATTTAATCTGAATGCAAATCTATATAAGGATAACAGAAGTGAAAATTGAAGACGAACACAGGTAAAACTGGCAAATTTCTATAACAAACGTATTATATGCAAACGAAAAATATAATTAAATGTTTGTTTATACTTATATTGTTGCATTTTATTACTTTATGAAAAGATTTATTACTGTATTTAATGGAAATGAAATTATATACTTATTAAATAAATTAAGAAAAACAATACAATTCTATAGATATAATAATAAAAAATATTGTGTGCACAATTTATAAAACAAATTTAATCTTTAATAATTTATGTTTAGATATGACTCAATTTCAAAAAATAAACGAAAATTTATTATTTTAGTTGAATTTCTTCAAAAAGCTCTAAAATATCATAACCAATGAAGATTGTATTATAGATTTTACTATGAAATAAAACGGTTAAGTTGTAAACATTTTAATATTTATAATAAGAAAAAACTTATAGTTTATAAAATAATTATACATTTTAATAATTTACGTTTTTGCGTGTATCATTTTCAAACAAATGTAAAAGGTTAAAAATTGACATCTTGGCTTAAAATATTCATTAAAATTCTTATACATTAAATTATTATCAAAAGTCATAATAAATGTTTTTAATGTAATGCGTAATATTAAAGAAGTAGTCATTATTTAATTATTCACTCTAAAAAAATTAATAAAACACTTTACTAATTAAACTAACGTTATGATTAGATTAGTGCTTTGATACAGAATTGATTGAATATATACAAATAGGACCATTAATATTAATAGTTTTGAGCTGAGTATCCTCAGCTTATATGAAATATAAGTAAATGAAAATACACAATATTAGATTATTACTGCAAAGTTATTTCCAAAGGATGTTATTTATATTTAATAAAAAACTATCTACTGTTACTAGTGAGTTTTGATAACTCAGTTTTTATTATATTAAATTCAATAATATGATTAATTAATAGTATTGTCTATTTTTAAATACGTAAACATGGTTCATGGCTAAGCTTTGATGTACACAATGTAATTTAATGTTTTTTTCTTCTTTACCTATGTAATTTGGTCACTGCAATAAATCTTTACATCAAAAGCGCTTTTTACTCAGTTTTTGGAGCAAATTGAATCATCCCTCCGTCTAATGAACAAAGTTATAAACCCATCCAATAAACAGAGTTTGTTCGTATAAGTAATAAATGTATATATTTTTGGTATAACCATAAACTATGCTATGGTGGTATACTCAAATGATTAGAAATTAAATGCATTTTATCATAAACAAAACTTAATGATAAGAGTGTCAATACCAAAAGGTGTAACATATTATATAATAATATAATAACAATGTTTATGTTAAATTTAAGTAGCTTATAAGAGCGAAGGACTTTTGTGGGATATATAATACATTTTTCTTAAATAGTTCTTAAACAATAGTTTTCCAAATAATTGAAAAAAAAAACGGAGAAAAAGTTAAAAAAGTTAAAATTTCAATAAAGGTTCGAATACTCACCACCAATAGTTAAATATATTTTTTTCATCCACAATTGTTTTTTTTTTTTTTTGAGGGGGGACTTTAAATATGATTTTGTCCATATGAACCACTCAAATCATCACAATTATAAGAAATTTCTGATAGGAATTGACGGGTCCAACGCAACAACCAGATAACTCCATTTTCATGAATTTTTAAAGAACAGTAAAATTAATTTAATTAAATAAATAAAATTTATAAAAATTATGTTGTTTATAGTTTTTTTTTTTTTGTATAATAGTTATTTTATCATATAGGATATAATAAAAACTTTTAAATTGTTTCCTCCATCCCTAAAAATAATTCCAAAGTCAATGACTCACTAGAGTTGTTGCCCATAATATCTCATATTATTTAGAAGTATACAAATTTAAACATTAGGTAAGAATCAAACGTGAAAAAAAATGATGTAATATATTTAGAATATTATTTTATTATATTTAAGGAACAAAATCATTTATTGTAGGTCCACTTATTGACCAAAAA